CGAACTAGGGGTGGTGGAAGGGGAGGAGGGCGGGGGGGTGTGGGTAACTGGGTGATGGGCACTGAGGGGGGCACTTGACGGGATGAGCACTGGGTGTTATTCTGTATGTTGGTAAATTGAACACCAAAAAAAATAAATTTATTAAAAAAATAAATTTGACATTACTTCTGGTAACTTCAACTGTACTTCCAGTCTATGAACATGGCAGGACAAGACAAAGGTGAAGCAACTGAGGCACTTGATCCAGTAACAAAGTTTGGTGGGATGCCAAAATAATCAGTAATCAACATAAACGATGTTTTAAGGCAATATTAAAAAGAATTAATGCAAAAAAAGTCCATGGTGAAAAAATATCAAAATCAAAATATAAAGATCGTCTTACCATGACTGACTGAATGAGTAGCAGAGGTATGTGATGGGGTTACAGTCCTACAGCTATCACTCCAAAACATCTCATTCTTCGTCTTCATAAACTGTTGATGACATTTTTTTACTTGAAAAATAACAAATATACTTCATGTCCATTAGCATGACTATCATAAAAAAATCTCAGCAAAACAAAAATGGGCAAAACAAGTGTTGGGGAAGATGTGGAGAAACTGGAACCCTCATGTACTGGTTGTAGGAATGCAAAATGGCGCCATCACTTATAGTGGTTTCTCAAAAAGTTAAACATAGAATCACCATGGAATGATTCTATATACCTACCTAGGAGTTCCACTCCAATGTATATGCCCCAAAGCGACCCAAACAGATCCTTGTATACCCACGTCCTTAGCAGCGTTACTCACAACAGCGAAAGGTGGAAACAACATAGATGTTCATTAACAGATAAATGGATAAAAAAATGTGGAATTTACATATATACAATGGAATATTGTTCAGCTTGAACAAATGAAGTTCCAATACATGCCACAACATGGATGGACCTTGAAGACACTATGTCAAGGGAAATAAGCCACATACAAAGGACACATGGTGTATGAGTCCATTTATACAAGGTACTTAGAATAGGCAAATTCATAGAGAACTATAGTAGAACAGTGGTCACCAGGCCTGGGGGTGGGGGTGGTAAGTTATTGTTTGAGAGTTTCTGTTCAGGTTGATGAAAATTCTGGAAGTGGGTGGTGGTGATGCTTCCACAACATTGTGCATTTAGTTAATGCCATTGAATTGGACACTTAAAAATAGAAAAAATGGTAAGTTTTATGCCATATATTTTTTACAGTAAAGATAATGAACGTTCACTTTATAAAAAAATGAGAAAATAAAGAATACATTTTAAATTAGTAGTAATGAACACTCAGAGAGATAGTTGCTTCTGGCTCCAGACTTTTTTCACAGCATCTTGGGATGGCCTCACAGTATGTAGCAGTGTGATTGAGATGTTTTTTTCTCTCTGGACTTTCTCTTCCCCTGTTAGGTGAAGGTGGCAGGCTTCCCTTGTATGGTGTAAACCAGCAAAAGCATAATGGCCTGTAAAGTATTTTCTTTTCTACTGGCTCCCCCTAACAAGTCCTAATCTCTCAGGTCACTGAGAGCAAGTAGAGGAAAGGGAGACTCCATAGGTTGCATGAAGGAATGGGGACGGAATCTCCCACCTCACACGGTCTGAGGGTCGGAGCTACCTACACCCACAGATAGGATGGCACTGAGGCTTCCAGCCTCTGCAAAGATTCTTCTCTTGTGTTCCTGGCATGGAAGGGGAGAGCTGAGGGATGTCTGTGGACTTGAGTGCAGAGAATGCCAGTAATAGACTTGGTGCATTGAAGATTTATCTCCTGTGTGAGCACTGGGGAAGCCTCTTGGACTTTCCTGCAGTCCTTTGGGGGAGAGGCCTGATAAAGAATTAACAGTGACAGCACGGTGATTTGGATTTGACTTAGTGATGATGTAGAAATATGGTATTATTTGCCTACTGGAATTTGTGAACTGAAGTTTAGACCTGGCATTGGTCAGGGCCCAGAATTTCAACATCCCCTAAAGTCAATAGAAAAATGTCAAAGGGTTTCCTCTACTTTGTAGTCAAATCTATAGCAGAAGGAACCTGTGAGAACTAATGTTCTTAGAGGGAAGATGCGTGTTCGGGTGTGTGTGTGTGTGTGTGTGTGTGTGTGTACAATCACCTTAGAGGAGCAGCTGTTGATAGCAGTCCACTGTTCTGATTGGCCAGAGCTATGCCCCATACCACACCTGTGAACTATTTTTACACCAGCCTACCTACTGTCATGTGGCTGCTACCAATTTCTTCCATTTTTTGGTATTAATGTTTTCATTTAATAATCCAGACCTCTGCATGCCAATACTTTTTTCATGTAATCGCTTTTTCTTTAATATGGAAATTCTCAAAGGTTTCTATAAAATTGTCAATGGATTTTTAAAGGAACTTTTTATGCCTAAGACATCATACATTTCAATTAAGAATATGAAAGCTTTTTAATATTGCAATATATGATGTCTTAGGCCATAAATAATTCTGTTAAGTCCACTGACAATTTTATAGAAGTCTTTGGGAAAACAGGACAGGAGTCTTGGAGTTCTGGCAACTTTCCAAGACACAACTATTCTCATATCCAGGATTGCCTACATCCAAAAGTCTTGCCATTTCAGCCAGAAGAGTGTTCAGTTGTACATAACAAAGGTGTTCCATGATCATATTCATAGATTACTTGTGTTAGTGCTTGGGAAACAGTCATGGAATCTACCACTATGTTTCTTTCAAATTAGTTCCAAGTTTCACCTCCTTCAGAAGTGATCCTTAATCCCTCAGTCTTATTAGTCACATTTGCTTTATATGACTTGCAAGTAAATTGCAGACTTCAGGGACTTTCATCTCTTATCCCGTTATGTGTATGTTCGGGATGTGTCATCCAAAAATAACGGTGCAATACACACCAATATAACCACAATACCATTATCCCACCCAAGACAATAACAATTCCATAATATCTGATATCTAGTTTATATTTATATATTTTCAATTACCTCCTAATTGGTTTTTACAGCTGTTTTTTTTTCTCCCCTTCAAACCAGGTTCCAGTCAAGTTTCACATATTACAGTGGGTTATTAGGTTATGTGTCTTCAGTTTCTTTTAATCTAGAAGAGTCCCTCAACCTTTTATTTAATGGTATCCACTTTTTAGAGACCAGGCCAGTATCTAGTAGTTGTCCTAATCTCTTTTGACTGATTGGTTCTTTTTTTTTTTTTAAACGATTTTATTTATTTATTCATGAGAGACACACAGAAAGAGAGAGGCAGAGACACAGGCAGAGGGAGAAGCAGGCTCCGTGCAGGAAGCCCGATGCGGGACCCGATTCCAGGACTCCAGGATCACACCCTGGGCCAAAGGCAGGTGCTAAACTGCTGAGCCACCGAGGGATCCCCATGACTGATTGGTTCTTGATGTTATTTATTTCTCTCTCCCTTGAATTTTCTGTAACTCAGCAGTTACATCTATGGCTTGATTAGATTCAGATTACAATTTTTGGTAGGAACACTTCAGAAGTGTATTTTGTGTTGCATCCTACCCAGTAGCACATATCTGTTTGTCCCCTATAAGTGTTGCTCAACTTAATTTGACTTCTTGGGTAAGGTGGTGACAATCATCTCTCTCCATCATAAAGATCATGTTCCCTTCTGTAGTTAGCAGATCATCTGGGAGTGACACCATGAAATGTTGGCAGATTGTCACCAGCAATTCCTCCCATTTCTGTTAGCATGTGCTGCTCCTCCTATCAACAGGTAGAAAACTATTTTTCATCCCTTGAATCTGGACTGGCCTTGTAACTTAGTTTAACTAATATAATATGATAGAAATGGTATTTCCTTATTTCTAGGCCTAGGCCTTAAGAGGCCTTGAAGCTTCTCTTTTTGCCCTCTTGGGTTCAAGCCACCAAGAAACTCAGGTTGGACTACTGAACGATTAAGACACCACAAAGAGGTCCAGCCAGCCTAGCTGGATGTACTAGAAATATGAGTGAAGCCATCTTGAATTCTTCAGCCCTAGCCAAGCCATCCCAGCCAACATTATTATATAGAGCAGAGGCAAGCCCTCTCCCTGGAGCTCTGCCAAATTTGCAGAGTCATGAGAAAAAGTAGATGGCATTTTAAGCCAACATTGATTTTGAGTGGTTTGTTATTCAGGAAACAGGAAACAAATCCCAAGTAAATATTCCGTTTCATGCAATAGTTTTAGTATCCTTTGATATTTGCTTGAGTCGATTATTTCATTGAGGTTGCCACAGGATAGTTTAAATTTTGCTATTTTCTCTACAGCATTGGGAGAGGAGGAGGGGGAGAGAAAATGGGGGAAGAAAGGAAGAAGGAGAGAGAGGAAGGAAAGGGAGAGATAAAGGACCAGCTTTCTCTCACTGTTTCTACCAAGAATGATGGATGAAATGTTTAATTTTTTCAATTATTAGTTTCAGAATAAAAAGTTGAATATTCATCCCCAAGGATGGCAAATGAGGTTTTGCCCTTCTACTTCTTTTCGAGCCTTCTTTACATGCTTGTCCTCCATAGTTGCTTGGTACCCCATGCATATCTGTCATTGAACTCAAAGTGTTATGCTCTAATTGCTGATTCATCTATCCATTTAACTGAACTATGTTTGTTGAGGGCAGGCATGTTAGAGGTGAAGCCAAGTACATATAAGTTCTAAGTGAAACTAGATTTGTCGTACTCCTTTTTTCTTTATACATATCATCTTACATAATTTAGATAATATCTGATTTTTTTAACCATGCAATTGTTTTGCCTTTTGGTGATTTTAATGTTTTATGTCTCTCATTTTTAAATCAAGAGTAACAGCCCGTAGTTATAAAACAAACAGTAGAGTGGGCCAGTAATATAAATCAGCAGTTCCGGACCCTCAAAGCCTCAACTTCATGAGGGATAACCACTTTCAATTTTTTAGGTTTGGTTCTTGTATTTTTTTTTTTTTGATGGCTGTATCTTTCAACTCAGATGACTTTTTCACAATGCTATCTTGTTTTCCCAGTGACAGATGGGATCTACATCCTCTCCCCTTGAAACTGGAGGGCTTTTGTGACTGTTTCAACCAATAGAGTATGGCAGAGGTGACGCACCATGGCTTCTGAGACCACTGTTAAAAGGGAAGTTTCTGCTTCTCTAAATACTTGATCTTGAAGCCTCCAACCTGACTGTCCGGAAGCCACCATGCAGTGCGGAAGCCTGAGCGACCCCTGCAGACACTGCTTGGAAAGGCCCAGAGACTTCAGAGATGTCCTGCTGCCCCCAGATGTTTCAGCCCTCTGCCATTCCAGTCCCAGCCACTGTCTGGCCGTAACTATGTACATGGCTCCTGGCTAGAACTCGAGTTCCTGATCCACAGAAACCAAGAGAAAAAATACCAAGAGAAAAAATAGCTCTTAAAGCCATGATGGTCAGGCCTCTTGGAGGCCAGACTTGGGAGTTTTTTGGTGGTACCTTTTGGTTGTACCTGAAGCAACACCTTCATTTACTTTGGTCCTAAGGACTCTCGTATCACTGAATTATCACTTATGATCTCTGTGGGGAAGACTGTTTCAGTTATCATGCTAGGTCTACTGCCTAACGTGCCGACCAAGTCCACTTGGCTTGTAATGGTTAGTTGACATTAATCGGCTTCTACAAAGGATCTTTCCAGCTCTGATGAAATCAAAGAGCCAGTTAAATAATTTGGAATGTGTTCCTTTCACCTGTCAAAGGCTTGGTTAAGGGACTGGATTATGGATCTTCTGTGGGAATAGCGAGGCCTTGTGAAGGTCCTCACAATATAAATCCATGGTAGCATTTCTTTTTCCTAAAGATGTTGGGTTCTTCTTTTTACATTATATATTAATGGAGTTCTGAGTGGGTTGATTGTCAAGCTGTTTCTTCAACCAGCTAAGCAAACAATTAAAACCGCTCCCAGCAGCTCAAACCAAAATGCTAAATTCAGAGTCTCTGTTGACTGAACTCAAGTAAGACTCAATAATTTCTGAAACTAGGCTCTCCTTTTAACTGATAACCAAAATACTCCATTCCTACCCATAGGGTTCCAGGTTTTTCCTGAGACTCAGAATCCTTCAAATCCTTATAAATATACACATCCCAATACTATGCACCATGCTTTTTGCCTCCCAAATTTCCTTACCTTCACATTATAAAAACAAAAAACCCCCACAAAACTTGATGACTCTGAATTCAACTGGTATTACTTGGTAACCTGCAAGATCAAACATAAAGTTTCACTTGCCTGTTTTAGGACTGTGAATGCAAGAAATGTTTATAGTCACAGAAGATCCCTGGGTTTCGCTCCCTGCCTTGACTTCAAGTAGCAGTCCTTGAAGTTCTCATGCCTTTTTTGTTTTACAGCAGCTATGAAGGAGATACCCAATGTCTTGTCTTCACTAGGCACTTCATTAGCTGTCTCACCACAAGCTACCAGATTCCCAGCGGGTCAGATGCTATTGATGCTGCTATGATCCTGTTTCTAATGTCCTGCCTTCATTGTGGTGCTCAAGATTGATGGACCTGGTGCCTAATGATGAAGAAAAACAGGATATCTCCAACTTTGGTATCTGTAGTGTGGGGCCAGGGGCATTCCCAAAATCAGGAAGGCAGTTTGGATGAACAGCAGTCCTCCAAAGTACATTTGTTTGATGAATTACCTTTGCTGTCCTTTTTTTCACTCTGTCTTCTTAAAGTCTCTATTATTTTATAGGGTTCCAAAAGGGGAGACAAATTCCTGTGATCAGCTCTTAGCCTGACTGATCCTAACTCTTCCTTTAAAATCTTTTACTTATTTTGGGAAATTAAAATATTTAAAGATGAAAACAAAGGAAAAATGAACAAGTATTCATACTTCTACCACCCAGATTTGGCCACTGTTAATTTCTTGACATATTTGTTTTCATTCCCAATTTTCTTTTTTTAAAGTAAAAATGCAGGGGAGGGGAAAAATAATAAATGCTCATGCAAAGTATTCAAACTTAGAAAAAATACAAAGATTCATCCACTCAATAAATATTTATTGAGTGCCCATCAGGCACCAGGCACTGTTCCAGATACTAAGATACAGCGGAGAGAAAAAAAAGACAAGAAAATGCCAGCTCTCACAGAACACACATATTAGTAGGAAAAGTTACAAATAAGAAAAACCGTCAGCTATACAGTATGTTACATGATAAGTGCTACAGAGAAAAATAAGCAGGGAATAGGTCTAAGGAGCATCAGGAGGATTGCAATTTTAAATAGGATGACCAGGGAATGTCTCACTGGAAAGGTGACATCTGAAAATATACCTGAAGATAAAAGAGGTAGAGAAAATTTAAAAAAAATTTTTTTTTCAACCAAAATCTCACTACCCACAAATAACATAATGAACATAAGGTGAAAATAAATTGTTGGGCAGCCCGGGTGGCTCACCAGTTTGGTGCCTGCCTTTGACCCAGGGTGTGATCCTGGAGACCCAGGATCGAGTCCCATGTCAGGCTCCCTGTGTGGAGCCTGCTTCTCCCTCTGCCTGTCTGTGCCTCTCTCTCTCTCTCTCTCTGTCTCTCTCATGAATAAATAAAGATCTTTAAAAATAATAATTTAAAAAAATTTAAAAAAAGAATAAATTGTTTATATATATATATCTGTATATATACATACATATACAGATATCTGGATGATTATATGGATAAATGAACAGGAACATACAGCTAAGAGACATATACTATTATAAAAATGGATTCAAACTAGAAAATATTTTTTCTTTTTAATCAAAATTTATTAAGCATCTATTTTTGTTTTTGGAGATATATAATATATACAGAAATATACAGATTGGTCTATATATCACCCAGATCCAGATTTGAGATTACATTAAGTCTAGAATCCACTCCATTAGAACTGACACTTGAATAGTAAGTCTTCTGACTCATGAACAGGCCCATCTCTCTATCTACACAGGTTTTCCTTTGTTTGTAATGTATCCTAGTTTTCTCTATGAAGGTCTGCTTGTCTTTCAGACTTATTTTAAGCTATCTGCGGCTTTCTGAGGCTATTTAATTGGTATTTTAATAATTTCAATTCTTAATTGTTGCTCAGATAAATACCATTTTATTAACTTTGCATCCTGTGATCTTATTAAATTCAAATTCTAACTTTATATTAATTTGGATTTGCTATATATACGGTGTCATCTGAGAATAACAGTTTTGTTTCCTTTTTATTCCCTAAACTTTGAATTTCATATCCAAAGTTGAAAAGAAGTGGTGATAGCAGGGCAGTAAAGTTTTCCATAATTCCCAATTAAGTATGATGGTTGCTATAGTGGTTTTTTTTTTTTTTGTTTTTTGTTTTTTTTTGGTAAATGCCTTTTATTAGGAAGCTCCCTCAGGACACCTGGGTGGCTCAGCGGTTGAGCATCTGCTTTCAGCTCAGGGCACGATCCTGGGGTCCTGGGATGCGGTCCCACATCAGGCTCCCCACAGGGAGCCTACTTCTCCTTTTGCCTGTGTCTCTGCCTCTTTCTCTCTCATGAATAAATAAAATCTTAAAAAAAAAAAAGAAACTCCCTTCTAGTCCTAGAGTCTGTTTTTTTAATCATAAATGGGTACTAGAGTTTATCAAATGCTTTTTATGACTCTAAAAATATAACTTCTGTACAGTATTTCTGTAAATGCAATAAATAATAATTTTTCAATGACAGATGGGCTTTGTTTTGTATGGCACCATGCTAACTAAACCTTGATTTGTGGTATGAATCCTCCCACCATAGCAGATTTCAAGCTTCCAACACGAGCTCAAGGAACTCATAGGTGGGAAGAGATGGGCACTGATTCTCATAAGCCAATAGGGGCCAGCTCTGGCTTACCTTGGACTTTAGTTATTTCACTAGACCAGCAAGAACAAAGTCATTTCAAATTACCTATTTTATAAAGTCTCACAGATAATCCAGTGAGTAGATAACAGTAAGGACAAAGCTAGTTTAATATTCAAGCCTTTATTAAGTACCTAATAGTGTCTAGCACTGTGCTAGTTGTTGTAAAGGAAAATGGAACTCTTTGAAGAGCTTATAATCTAAATGATCTAAACAAGATTAATAGAATGTGCTTCAAATTTGGGTATGAATCTTAAGATAGTACTATCAATTTATTACTAAAGGAATCCAAAGGTAGGTGTGGGGATAGTATAGGAATTCTTCCAGCAAAGATTATACAGGCCATGAGCTAGGTCTTAATGGACATAATCGAATTTGGACTAGCAAAGAAGAAAGAACACTGTATTAGAGTAACAGAAAGACGTGAAGGAAGGTATGCAGGTAGGAAAGCACATGATCTTAAGAGCTCACAAAGGTGAGATGAAGTCTGTCCATGCTGGGCACTGCTGCGGATTCATTTGCAACAATATCAAGAAACATTTATAGTGACAGAGGTGCGCCTCAATTTCTTAACTATGCCAGCGGCAAGTGGCTAAATGGTAGTACTTCACATTAATAATCAAATATACATACTCATTGTTTTTCTGCATGTAGATGACAGGAAACTCAAAAGTCAATTTTCTATTGAAATTCTTTTTATTAAGACCCCTATAGTTTTCAAGCTGAGAAAAACAATGTTCTTCAACATCTAGGTCACACAGGAACTCAAGTAGCCTCAGAAACCAGCTACCCAAAATTTCTTAAGAGTCCAAGTTCAGACAGAGTCTGAACATTGTATTTATCTGTCCATAAAGAACTCATGGCCTATGTGCTACCATTCAAGGCTAAGTTTAAAATTATGTGATTCCAGAAATAGGCTTAGAACCAGAAATGTAAAAAGCGTAGAAGATGTAAGGTAGAAAAGAGCTATGGTTGGAAGTGATTTGCATACTGAGACACAGTTCTCAAAGTACGTGTAAGAATTAAGTATGATAAAGTATCCATTTATCATCAACACTATACTCACTATTCGGTCATGTACTTTGTCAAATTAAGTAAAATACTCCTTCAAAACAAATTCTGGCTTTATAAAAAATTCTGGATTTCAACTATCATGTAATTATGTGAATTCTCCTAATGATATAATTAACACCAACACTTTATAATTCTGAGGCTAATAAAGAATAAACTATTTTATAAGGCGGCCACAAAGAACTGTTAGTCTGCCAAGTTAACTCCCACTCTCACATAAAAAGTTGTTGAAGAACAGAATTTTCATGTATACAGTCTCAATAATTTCTAATGATTTCTTTGTATCTCATCAATCTAGATACTATTTTCTCCTATACAGAAGATCCCAAAATAAAGAAGCATACACAGAATATAGCCAGTAGTAGGTTATGTCAATTTACTTCATGTAAGAACAGTGTAATTCAGACCTATGATTTTCCATCTAATAGCAACAAAAATAAACTGTACAGAAAAGCCAAAGGCAACCAGGGAGCATTATATGTCAAATGTGCAAATATACTTTAAAATGCAAGTTATTCTATAGTATTTGCAAGGTAGAATTTTATAGTAATTAAGGAATCTACCTCATTCCAACTAACTTCATAATCTTCTGTATATACAGCCAATGCAAATGCACAAGGCACAACTTAGTGTTGATGCTAAAGTGTATAATATACACGTTCAGATTATTTATTTGAAGATATTAAAATAATATTTCATGTTTGTATTTTATTATTTAATGAGACATTAGCTCTTTTCTAAAGCTTCACTGATAACGCATGTGTAGCAAGGACAGATTGTTCCCTGAACTTAAAAGGTAAAAGCCAAGACACTTGGTAGCCTATATTAAAAAAAAAAAAAAAAAAAAAAAAAATCTATATATATGTACACACACATCCACAAGAAACTTCCCATAATTCAAAGGGAGGACATTCCTTTTAGCAGAGGTTCCCATTATAGTATTTCATGACAGTTATTTAAAAAGTATGTATTTATTTGCCATCTGTTTTGGTCAATCTTGCTACAAAAAGACACTGAAGTAGACAATTTTCTTCTTCAAGCTGAAGACAATGCCTAATTTAGAAAGTCTTTCGAGATTGCACAGTGAAAGGTATTATTTAATTAAATATAGAAACTTGTTGCTTTTAAAGAAATTATTGAAATCTACGCAAAGAAAAATGTTAGCCTATCAAACATCAATGAGACTTGGCTAGAACAGAATTCAAAATCTCTCAAGCCCAATCACAGTGCTCTTTGCTGTTTTATTGCCCATCCCTGAGAATAAAGATTCTAGTATTTAAAATTTTTTAATAAAGTAAATACACTTTACATTGATGAGAATGATGCTTAAGAATTGTTTTTCAAAATATAAAATAAGCCCTATTTTATTTTGGTAAAGAAAAAAATATATATAAATGCTCTGTGCAAATACCACCAATTCTAAATATTGCTGTTTCAGTCAATTTTAATCCTCTTTAACTGGGTCATTCCTATTTTTTTTTTTTTTTGCCATTGGTACTTGTATCACTCATTTCATTATATCCATTATTTTATAATTTTTGTTAACAGGAGCATTTAACTGGTAATGGAGCAAAAGTACATATAAAATTAAAGGAACTCTGGAGTGAGATCTGTATTTCCCTGTGGTAAAAGAGTTTTACTGGAAATAATCTGAATGCCATCCAAGAAAGGCAAAAGTACCTATGAAAGAAAGAACACACATGGTAAATGTCTTCCTTATTGTCTTTGGTTTAGCCTTCTTGGCCAAAATCTTCCGTAAACTTCTTTAATTTTAACAAGTCATGTTCATTGACTGTGGGTTTCGTGTTAGATAGTGACCGTAACATATCCGACTGTCAGGGAAAAAGAAGGAAGAAGTATTAGTAATGGCTTCAATCAAATAAAAACCAATACATCATATTATTACTAACTTTCCATCTGAAGTTAAATCAAAGTATTTGCAGTGTACTCTAAGCTACTAACAATAAACTCTCATTTCTTCTGAAGTACATCTTTTTTTTTTTAATTTTTTTAATTTATTTATGATAGTCACACAGACAGAGAGAGAGAGAGGCAGAGACATAGGCAGAGGGAGAAGCAGGCTCCATGCACCGGGAGCCCGGCGTGGGATTCGATCCCGGGTCTCCAGGATCGCGCCCTGGGCCAAAGGCAGGCGCTAAACCGCTGCGCCACCCAGGGATCCCTGAAGTACATCTTTGATCATGTTCTTCCTTTGCACAGCAACTTTAAACTGCTTGCCTTAAAAAAAAATAAACTGCTTGCCTTATCCTGACCACAACTTTCAATGCCTCCCCATTACCCATCGGAAGTATAATCTTCCTAGCCTGAGGATCAAGGCCCTCTAAAATACATCTCTGATCTCTTTTCTGGTCTTAACTATTTTTTCTTAAAACAAGAGTTCACTAAGTGCAATTCAAAAGGAATATAGTCATTCACTTATACTAACATGAAACACAACACAATTTAATTAAAACCAACTAATCAGAATATTTTTTAAAAGGTGTTATTTATTTGAGAGCGAGAGTGTGAGCACCAGTCGGGGAGGAGGGCAGAGGGGGAGGGAGAAGCAGAGCAGGGAGCCAGACTTGGGGCTGGATCCCAGGACCCTGAGACCATGACCTTAGCTGAAGGCAGATGCTTAACTGACTGAGCCACCTAGATGCATGCCCCCAGGATTTTTAACTGTTAAAATTACGATCAAAATGGGAAGAAAACATGCTAGTATCAGGGATTCATTAAAAGATTAACTTCTAGGCTGTGTCTCATAAAACAGTATGAAAAATGGTCAAGAGAACAACATCTTTAAAAAATAATATAGTGGAGTGCCTCGGTGGCTCAGTTGGTTCAGAGTCCTACTCTTGACTTTGGCTCAGGTCATGAGCTCCTGTTCAGTGGGGTGTCTGCTTGAGATTCTCTTTCTCCTCCTCTCCCTTCCTGCCTCCCTGTGCTCACTTGCATGAGCTCTCTAAAATAAATCTTAAATAAAAAATAACATAGCAAGGACTGAAAAAAAAGTTTCTGAAAAACTTCTCAGAGAAGCATTAATACATAAATACATCTATAAATATATACTTATGCACATACAGAAATACATGTATGTTTATAGATCTATGTGTACGTTTCATGTAAATAAATTTCTCCTCTAGAAGTTACTATTCATTCTCACATAACGCTCTTTTGAAGCAGAAGATTTAAAAAACTGTGCTCACCAATAAGAAAATACAAAAATAACAAATGTAGCTTTTCACAGTAAGCTTCCGATAGCTTACAAAACAAGTTTTAAGAATTATTTTAATCCCGGCAGGCCTGGTGGCTCAGCGGTTTAGCACCGCCTTCGGCCCAGGGTGGGATCCTGGAGACCCGGGATCGAGTCCCGTGTCGGGCTCCCTGTATGGGGCCTGCTTCTCCCTCTGCCTGTGTCTCTGCCTCTCTCTCTCTCTCTGTGTGTCTCTCATGAATAAATAAACTCTTTAAAAATGAAAAAAAAAAGAATTATTTTAATCCCTCCAAAATAAACTATAGAAATATAATTTTTTATCATAAACACTTGGTTTCAGGATTTTTTTTTCTACAAGCACTACATTATTTAAACTTTCTATAAAGGTTGAAGAAGTAAAACAGAAAACGTCATTATAAAAACTATGATTTATGCATTAAGCTCTGAGTATTTTATAAAATCTTAGATTCAGAAAAGAAATTTTACCGATTCTACTTTTTGGTAAGTCTTGACAATAATTTATGTCATATAGATAAGAATTCTGGTGATAGTATCCTAGCTATAAGACCTACAAATGTAGAAACCTATGGTTTTTGAAAAATAGCTTTTTCACTTAAAATTAAGTATTTAGTATTTAATTAAAGTAGATTAGTATTTATTAAGTAGTATTTAGTATTTATTAGTAGTATTTATTTCATTAACTTAAAATTATTTAGTATTTATAAACATGCTCGATCACACCAACATTTTCTAATCTCACATGACTGGAAATGTTTGTCTCACAAATGACAAACTATGAATTTTTTTCTTAATAGCAAACAAAATGTCAAACCATGCAAACAACTGGTTCCAAAAGTTTATCCCCAGGGACGTCCATCCATGTCATTTCAATGGCACCAGGGTCACCTGGAGAACAGGGTGTTAGCAGATCATCTACTATTTTGTTGGGATCAGCTCGTGAAGGTCCGCACACCTGGAATAAACAGTAATCTGAAATATTTACTTGAACAAATTAACTTAAGATTTAGGCCATTATCAAGAAACTTGAAAATGTACTATTTTGTATTTTGTTAAAATGTTTGCTTCTAAAAATAAACAGATGAATACACAATAAAATGTAATTATCTTTGGGTAATGGGACAGATTTTGTTTGGTGTTAATTTCTTCTTGATGCTTTCCTGTATTTTGAAATTTCCTATGATAAACTACGTGATCACAAGGAGAAAATGAGTTTAAGTCAAAAAAAAAAAAGAAAAGAAATAGTTATCTGTGGTGAAGGGTTCTTTTTTCTCTAATGCTTATTAAATGGTCTTAGTCCAAAAAAGGGGGCATCTTCAATAATTCTCTTAAGTTTTCTCTATTTTCCAAAACTGAGAAAGTTCTGATATTTGGAAGATTAGTGTGAAATCACTGAATGTTTTCTCAAAAAAAATTTCTCTTTAAAAATAAGTACAAAATTAAATGCTATGTGTAATTTCAATGCTATTTTGTGACTCATAACGGATTTAAAATATTAATATTAATAACGCCCCGAGAAAGAACCCTTGGGACAGGAGTCACATGCAAGTATTTTTTTAGATGACAACAAATCTATACTAAATTGGAGGCTGATTTCACATTTAATATTTTTTTTGACAATGATCAATCTTAAATATTATGTCAGACTTAGGGCAGGTTGCAGAAAAATAAAGATTCTAGGTTTACTTATTATGTGTATTTTATAATCTGTCTTTCCCAACAGAAATTTTAGCTGCAGAGATTTTTGTTTTTTGTAATCCTTTGTGCTGCCAAAGAGAGCACAAGGGATTTTTGTTTTGTTTTTTGTTTTTGATTGTAGTACTTTCTGACTTATCTCTGGGCTCAGAGTAGTACTGTAGACGTTTGATAAATAAACAGGCAATCTTGTTTTTGCTAATTGAAATAATTAGCCTTAAAAATGGGAGTCAAGGATGGACCCACTGAGAGATCTACTCGCTGGTGATGGAGAAGGCCAGATGTTAACGCTGATTTGGCTGCTTCACCTTTATTCTCCTAAAAAGGACCTGGCTACAGGGTCATTTAAGCTGTCCCTGGTGGTCACGTGGAGAACTGAATGAAAAGTTCTGGGTAGGAAAGGACTGAGTTCTGAAGAATCTATAGTTTCTAAATGGTAAAGAGAATTTAAAAGAAAATACAATGGCTAGAACATAAAATTGCCCCTGAGCCTCTCGTGTTTCCCTCAGTAATGAGGTGGCTGTAGGGGGAAGGGCTATTTCCTGGACTACTCAGGTACCATGACAGAGGCGCTTTACAAGAATACTTCATTTCATTCTCACAATTGTACTTTGAGGCAGTGTTATTGCCTTTATTGTAGAGACAATAAAAACGAGACTTAAATGGATAATATAATTGCTCAAGGAGACCTAATAAGTAAATTGTGGAGTCAGGCTTCAAATTCAGGTTTTAATTCAAATTCATCATTTTTTTAAAAAATTTATTGCAGGACAACAGACACAACATATGTAACTTAGTCATAATATATCAGTTTTGTCATTACTGCTGGATTGAGTTTGCTAATAGTTTTTCAGGATTTTCACCATTCAAGTTCATGAGTAATTCGGGATACTGCTGTTCCAGCAATATGGTTGGTCCAAATTACCTCCTCCACTTAAATATCAAGATCACAGTCTTTTTACAATGAATGCTCCATTCATTCAAGCAGACAAAACACTGCATGCGAAGCGAGGCTTCAGATTCTGAAGCACACGTGACCGAGAGGAAACTCACACTTCTGCACCTCTCTGGTGGGATCTCGGGAAACTGTGTTAGCACCCAAGTCCCAGTTCAATCACATTAACATCTGAGTCTCAGACTAATGATCAATGGGTGGTAACAGGCACCTGTTGTAAAGTTTTTGGGAGGACCAAATGACATAGGGACATAAGGAATAGAACACAGTGCCAGGCATATTTAAATATTAGCTATTAGTATTTTTCCTTTGTTAATGAGGTGTAAATGCACCAGATTCTGTGCAAGGATATTCTAGTTACACCAGCAGTAACTATATATTTAAAGTTTCTACACTTATATAAAAATAACAAGTACCTCAAAAATCATTGCATAAAAAATTTTAAAATGTAGGACTATTATTAACAGCCATTAATAAATTTTGTGGGAGAACTTATTTTCAATGAAATCAAAATGTTAATTCTATAAACCCACTAGTTATGAAACCTTCCTGAAATTCTTTGAAGACAAATCAATGATGGTCTTAAAACTTGACTTTTTAAAAATATCTGAAAGGATGGATCAAAGCTCCTCACCTTTTTAAAATGAGTAGCTGACTGCACTTTTCTTACAGGCTGCATTAGTGCATCACGCACAATGATACTTATGTCTGCACCCGAATAACCGTCCGTTTTCTTCCCGAGTTCTCGGAAGTCTGTTTCTGCTAGACTGTTCTGAGTGGTCCCTAAGTGCAGTTTGAACATTGCTGCTCGGGCATGGGCCTCAGGCAAAGGAATATAAATTCGTTTCTCAAATCTTAAAATGAAAGAAAAATTACATCAAGATTACTACATATATTTAAGTTCAATTGAAAATTCAAATTTCTCAAGAAGAAACAAGATGCTCAGATATTCTCATTTATACAAAGCTAATCTGAGTAAATTAAATGGGTCCATAGCTTAACCATATGTATTTAGATTAATAATGGGAAAATATCCAAACACATTAACAACTAAAAAGGAAAACTAAAATAGCCAGAGAGCCAATTTGAAGTAATTTATCCTTTCTCACATGATTTTTGGGTTACTTTGGCCATAGTGTTAATAATGTCTAGAATTCACAACATGATATGTCCCACAAGATTAGTTTCCTACAGAATCATACTCTCAACTCCCGGTCAAGGGATTTATATGGTTAATCATACGAAATAAGAGATGACAAAATAGTTTCTTAAATTCAAAAACAGTAAAGCTACTCAAAATCTAATAAACATGTTTACACAAAATGCCCACTTTATTATAATGGGTACATTAAGAATAATTAATCCTACTAGCTCATAAATGCTGTTTTATGAACAATAACTTTACTCGCTTCTCAGAATTTTAGCTTTAGAGACAGAGAGGAAGCAATAAGGGACAATTTAAATGGACTTTTCTTCCTTCAGGTACCTCTCTGTGGTCTTGAGAATTTTAAATTCCCATGATCTCTAGAGATGAGTTTAGAATTAGCACATTTTTCCAAAACAAACAGCAGATTGATTGCCTTTCTTAATATGGAATGGTAATCCAGCATCCTGGCAAACTATCAAGTGAACAGGATAAAAAGCAGCAAGAACCGGTGCTAATTTTTACGATGCAAAATTCAATGAATGAAATAGGGAATGGTGTGCGTGAAAAGTAATGAATCTATAAACCTTTCCTGTAGCTTAAGTTCAATATGCAATTTAAAAATTATAGACATAAATTTTTTAATGAAAATATATCTTAGTTATCTATCATACTTTAACTTCTATAAATGTCATTTTGCTAACATTTTACATGGAAATTTTCCATTGAAATAGCAAGCTACATTTGTAAGTTTGTGAAGTATCAGTGCCCATGAAGTTTCATTAGAATTAATAATAAGCATTAGGTAATACATTTTCCAATGTGAAAGACTCTGTATATGGGCATCTCTTATCTTCAATATAGCAACCAAGGAAGCAAACAATCACGAGCCTCTCTTCCCCTAACACAGGGGCCGACAGGATTAGGGTATCAAAAAAATTCTGAAAAGTTCTCAGAATGCCTTTTCGTTGGATAAAAAGGGAACTGTTATGACTTGTTACATCCACAGTTAAGAAATAAGACCTTCACTGTATCATCAGACCTTCTTCTGATGGCAGAATCCAGAACCCAGGGTATATTTGTAGCTCCCAGAACCAAAATTCCATCATTGTCTACACCAACACCTGTTATGAAAATAAGAAATATTTTAAATAATTTGTCATTTTAGTGTTTTTGTTTTTTTTTTTTCAATCTCGTCCATATGTTCTGTTAAGAATGTAGTATTTTCAGGATGCCTGGTCGGCTCAGTGGTTGAGCATCTGCCTTTTACTCAGGGTGTGATCTTGGGGTCCTGGGATCTAGTCCTGCATCGGGCTCCCTGTGTCTCTGCCTCCCTCTCTGTCTCTCATGAATAAATACATCTTAAAAAAAAAAAAAAGAAAAAAGAAACCCAATTTAAAAAAAAAAAGGGGGGGGGGTTTCGTTTCCAAAGGCCAGGTAAACAAAGGCAAAAAATGCACTACTAGGACTTCATCAAGATAAAAAGCTTTTTCACAACAAAGGAAACAGTCAACAAAACCAAAAAGGCAAAGGACAGAATGGGAGAAGATATTTGCAAATGACAAATCAGATAAAGGGCTAGTACCCAAAATCTATAAAGAACTTACGAAACTCAACACCCAAAGAACAAATAATCCAATCAAGAAATGGGCAGAAGACATGAAGGGGCATTTCTCCAAAGAAGACACAAATGGCCAACAGACACATGAAGAAATGCTCAACATCACTTGGCATCAGGGAAATACAAATCAAAACCATGAGATACCACCTCACACCAGTCAGAATAGCTAAAATTTAGAAGTCAGGTAACAAAAAGTGTTGGCAAGGATGTGGACAAAAGAAAATCCCACTGTTGGTGGGATTGCAAGCTGGTGCACTCTGGAAAATAGTAAGGAGGTTCTTCAAAAAGTTGAAAATAGAGCCACCCTGCAACCCAGCAATTGCGCTACTAGGTATTTGCCCCAAAGATACAAATGTGGTCATCCAAAGGGGTACCTACACCCAATGTTCATACCACCAATGTCCGCAATAGCCAAACTACGGAAAGAGCCCAGATGTCTACCAACAGACGTGGGAGATATAAATAAATATAAATATAAATATAAATATAAATATAAATAAATATAAATATAAATATAAATATAAATATAAATATAAATATAATATAAATATGTATTTATTTATATAACAAATTACTACTTAGCCATAAAAAAAATGAAATCTTGCCATTTGCAACGACATGGATGGAACAAGAGGATATTATGCTAAGTGAAGTAATTCACAGAAAGACAATTATATGATCTCACTCATATGTGGAACTTAAGAAACAAAGCAGAGAATCATTGGGGAAGAGAGGAAAACATAAAACAAGATGAAATCAGAGAAGGAGACAGATCATAAGAGACTCTTAATCACAGGAAACAAACCAAAGGTCACTGGAGGGGAGAGAGTGGGGTGATGGGGTAACTAGGTGATGGGACATTAAGGAGGGCACATGATATCATGAGCACTAGGTGTTATATAAGACTGATGAATCACTGAGCTCTGCCTTTGAAACCAATAATGCATTATGTTAATTAGTTGAATTTAAATAAAATTTAAAAAAGAAAAAAAAGTGTGGTGTTTTAATGGTAAAGTGACCCGAGAGTCTCTCTGAAAAAGCTGTATTTAATCAAATATCACATTATTCAAATATGATGCAAATATTCCCGAGAATCAAATCTTCTAGATTGCTGACAAATACCATTCATATTCTTCTCAAAATATTTCTTAAAAGATTTCATTTGAAGTTTATATGTTCCTTTTGCTGATACTGTTCGTGGTAGGTTATAAGTGAGTATGTGGATCTCCTTACTGTTTATGCCAGAGCCTTACAGATGATTACAATGGGGTGCAGATTATGTGTGCATATGCAGGACAATCAGAATGAAACATGGCATAATGAAAACACTTAGTCAGCTAAAATGGAGAAATTTGGCTCGAACTTTTTCCATTATTGTGATAACAGCAGTTATACAATAAGTAGAAAATATTTCAGAAGTCAGTACCCCTACCTTGCATTTGAACTAGGAACTCAGTTTTAATTCTACGGGCAGCTTCGCTTTCATTTTCACTTCTTGAGCCACACAGAGAATCAATTTCATCAATGAAGATAATGGAAGGCTTATTCTCTCTGGCAAGTTGGAATAAGTTCTTAACTAGCCTAAAAATAAATAAAAGCTTTCAGTTTCTTAATAAAAACAGTAAATGACACATGACTTAATAAAAAAAAACTAAAATAGAACACATACAGTATTATAAGAACTCTTAAGATTCAATCATGTTTTGGTCCAGAAAATAAAAATGGTACATACAGTTGGATAATTCCATTTATGATTTACTAAACTATATTATATGTAACTACATATGTTATCTTTTCCTATGAAATGAATTTCAAATGAGGGACTGATTTCACAGAAAAATGAATACTTATGTCACTTCTCTGAATGTCTATGAATGATGTAAGAAACCTATTACTTTATAGACTGATATAATGATTCCAGGAAAGAGAAAGTAAAAAAAAAGAAAAGGTCAACTTACTACTTACTTTTCACTTTCACCTAGCCACTTAGAGACAAGGTCAGAGGAAGATATTGAAAAAAATGTTGAGTTGTTTGCTTCTGTTGCTACAGCTTTGGCTAAATAGGACTTTCCTGTTCCAGGCGGTCCAAATAACAGAATTCCCCTCCACGGTGTTCTCTTGCCTAAAATTTGCATTAGAAAAATAACATGAGAATCTCACAACTGTTGATTTCTGTTACTAGAGATATAATTCATACTGAAGAATATTGTGGAAGAGGTTTTCACTCTACAGCTATCAGAATAAAAAACTTTTTAAATTAATCAAACTAAGATAAGTATGTCTTAAAAGTATCTCATTTGCTTTTCATAGGGAACACTTTGTCAAATGCGTTTGCATTGATATAATCTTTCTAGCAGGAAGTTCATTTACTTCACTCATTCATTCAACCACTATGTATTAAAACCACAATGTATAGACAGAGAACTATAAACACAAAAGGATCTCTGCCCTCCCTGGGCTTACAGTCTAAAAGGCACTTCCTGATTGTCTGCTATCTGCAACACTCAGTATCAGAATACTGTAGGATAAACTATGTCCATACAGTGAGGGCAGCTGGAAACATTTTCTTTTAAATATTTATGACTATTGAGAAATGAAACTAACACAGTCTGGTTGATCTGTCCCAAAGTTCTATTCAATTCCTGATTCCACAGGGAAGCATAGTCTAGTATTATAGAGAGCATATCCTTATTCAGATGGTTGGGTAATAAGGAGACTCTACCACTTGAAATCCTAGTTTTGTGAAAATATAACAAGTGAAGAAATCAACTCTTTGTATTTCAATTTTCCTAATAGGAAATAATGCTGCCTAAAATAAAACTGGCTGAGTTACATTTGGTAAAACCATGAAATAAACATTTAAAAAATTTCTAGGTTGAAACTGGACGGAGACATGGTAGCTATGTAAGAACGATATACAGATTACTAATGGCAAAACTAACTACTGTTGTATTTATTGTTATGAAAGCCTCAACTCTGAGTTGAATTCTATCTTCCCATTTTAAATGTCTGAAATTGTAAGTCCGTGTACCCTTAAATGTGGTATATGTGACTGGTGGCAGATGGAGTACTTTTTAGGTAGCATACAAATACTTTTTATTTAAATACATTTTTTTTTAAAAGACTTTGGGAGACAGTGAGCATAAGAGAAAGCATGAGCAGGGAGGCTGATGTGGGGCTTCATCCCAGGACTCTGAGATCATAAATTGAGCTGAAGGCAGATGCTTACCTGACTGAACCACCCAGGTGCCCTATTTAAATAATTTTTAAAATGTGTATTAGAAAAATATTAATTTTTCAATTTATAGTAGACACAAAGCAAAGTTTTAAAATGAAGTTACTACAGAAAAATAAGAAAGATGATTAGTAAGTTCAGTTATAGGCAAAATGATCTATAGTGTTAGGAGTCAAGTGATCACCTCTGCAGAGTAAAGAACTGGCAGAGGGACTTGTGGGTGGGTTATTAGTATTATCTCTTGATATGTGTGATGATGATTACATAAATGTACTTTCTGATCATTTATGAAACTGAACACTTTTAGGTTCCTGCTAGTCTCTATGTCTATGCTGTACTTTGATTTAAAGGAAAATATTTAAAAAATAGTAATGGTACACGTATATGGAAATAATCAGAAATGAGATACATAAATGACTTGTGTTTGGAAAATATTGGTGGTAAGTAATAAAAAATGAACTCAGTCATGCTTTTGTGCCTTATAGGATCATGATGTCAACTTTTACACCATTAATTTTGTATTTCTGAAGTTAGGTTGTGAGTCATAGGTGGCCTGGTGGACAACCAGTGGCCCACAGGTTCTTTCCTCATCACTACTCTATATGACATCACCCTCTGGACCTAATTCAGTTTGAGGCCAATGTCACAGATTTGCTCTCTACACAAATCAGCTGGTTTCTAAAAGGGATATCCTGTTGCACTGTTAGACCGCGGGTATAGCCATACCATAACAGAGGCAGGCTATCAGTCACAACAAGGACAATGTGAGGGAATGCTTCAGCATATACAGATCACCTGCTGCTGGAGCTGTAACTTCAACTACACCACGAAGGTTGGCTTAGCAATATTCTCCTCACAGGGAGAATGAATTGTCTCCAGAGGATAGCTACTTTGTCTGAAAATATTAAATAATTCTTGCTCTTTTTAAAAAGTGGGGGAAACTCTTATAAAACTAGTACATGACCACTGGAAAAACATCAGATGAAACTTCAAAGAAAAGGTAAAAACCATCCATAATCTTATCTCCTAGGCATAACATTTTTATGTCAATCTGTCTAATTTACTTCTCAGCTCACATATTTATTTAATAAATGTGAGTCATACTACACATATTGATAACTTGTGTTCTGATATTTATGTATATGTGGACATCCTTTCATGTCAATTATAACACAGATCTAAATTTCTTAATGTAGACATACCCTGTATTTGAATGAGTGCACAGTATTCCGCTGCATATTGGTGATTTAGCCTATGCTTTTCTGGTTGACATCCGGGTCTTTTTGTAATATATGTATATTGCAAATACATGTACGAAATAAATACCTTTGTGCAGAGGTACATCACCACCTTATAACAATTTGTTTAAGGTGCTAACATATAATATGGTGACAAAAATCCATAATGCTCTACCTCAGCTGTCAATGTGTTTTTAAGGAATCATCAAAAAACCTATTTCACAGTCATCTTACCTGTAAAAAGATGAGGAAATTTAATAGGTAATATCACAGCCTCTTTAAGTGCCTCTTTGGCTCCTTCAAGACCAGCAACATCGCTCCATTTCACATTTGGTCGCTCTATAACAATGGCACCTACAAAAGAAGTATATCATCTTTAAATTAAGGAAGACTATTGCATCAAATGTAGAAGACAACATGAAATAATGACATTCAAGAAATACATTATAAAACTGGAAAAGTTTTATCTATAAAAAACCTTATTGAAATCATGTGATTAGGAAGTAATTGTGGGGCAGAGTCAGCAGGAGTCAGAAAGCTGGGCTGGGTGACTGGCTAACCTAGGGTAGGTCACTTAACTTTTCTATTTCTGCTTCCTCACTGTAAAATGAAAAGAATACTATCTGCCCAAACCACTTAAGATGGGTTAGTGGAGGGATAAAATGACATAATGAATATTTGTGTGTTTGGAAAATCACGAAATATTTTACCACGTGGTTACAATGTTTGAATGCACTGATTCTGAAGTACTGAAAGTACCTGTTCAATGGCGGTTGATCAACTACTTCTTTTTAACAAAAATACCCAGTGATCTAATGCTCTCCTTAAGCACCAAAATAAAAAGATACTTAATAACTTTAACTGGTGATACAGACAAGACAGATGGATGGATGGATGGATGGACAGATAAATAGTAGGGAGAATGAGAGGGAGCGGATGATGAAGGAGAAAGAGAAAATGTGCTCCTGTAGATCTCCAATCCTTTCCTGAGATTTGTTAAATTTTCTTTTTGGCTTCTAAATACCTACTTAAATTTTTTTTTACATTAAAAAGTTATCTGTATGATTTAAGTTTTCAATACAAGATATTCAGAAGCCACAGCAATTGTTGCAGTAAGAGTCCACAAAAGGTTTCCTCTAATATAGCTTATTAGCAAAAGTTTTCAATTATCTTTTATCAAAAACTTTTCAAAAGCTGATTCTAAGGCGATGTGTAATTTTTTTAAGTATAGCAAAACATCACCACTTACACAATCCACTGATTACCAATGAAGTTAGTTTTATGGGTATTTCTTCTTGCTATGAAAGATCATTTATTATTATAAAAGTAGTTATATTACATGACCTACTTATATTATGAAAATCTTTAGCTATAGATTAAAATTAAATGAAATCTGGATGCCTGGCTGGATCAGTCAGAGGAGCATATGACTCTTGAGATTATTTAAAAAAATACAATGTTAAAAAAAAAACTATAAATACTTTCTGCATTCTAAAAGTTCACATTAAGTATAAATTAGAGCCAATTCACCTTTTCTATGTTCCATTCAGCTTAGTATCCCAACATGAGAAAATATTTGTATTATCTGATAGGATTTTGTAATAGTTAAAAAAAAAAAAGGAAATTTACTTTATATATAAGCAGAATCTGGTCAACTTAAGTTTTTTCTAGGTATTAATATTCTAAATATGCCAAAACTTATCTTCACATTTAACTAATATTTTTCAAAATGTAAAGGTCATTTTAGAATATTTAGTGATAAAAATTATTTAGATAAAAACTAATATTATTTAATAAAAGTAGTAATTTAAAAAGGGGAAAAGGATTATTGGGAATAAAGGCCAAACAATTTGTTTCCAATTAGATAAATTTATCCAGTCTTTGATTATACTCATGTTATTAAACCTCAAAAGTCACTAAGCATCAAAACAGCTAACAGAAAACTCAAATAATAAATTCTTTAACTTTATTTTTTTAAGATTTAATTTGTTTATTCGTAAGTGAAACGCAGAGAGAGGCAGAGACATAGGCAAAGGGAGAAGCAGGCTCCCTATGGGGTGCCTGATCCGAGACTCAATCCCAGGACCCCAGGATCATGACCTGAGCCAAAGGCAGATGCTCAACCACAGAGCCACCCAGGCGTCCCAAATTTTAAATTTTAATATATAAACATTGCTCTTAAAGTCATAACTTAAAACAGAAATAGAAGACTTAAAATACTCTTTCAGGAAAAAAGAGGAAAGATTCAAAAAAGGATATTATACAGTGAAACCCACAAGCAAACTATTAAATGAAGATGGAAAAAAGAACTCTGAGATATGATAGGCTAGGACTCCTTTCAAGCTCCACTTCATTCTGAGATTCCAAATAATTTCCTCATTTAAATGTTTTCAGCATTTGTATTTTTGTACATCTCTGGTTCTTATCATTACCGAATTTGAAAGAATGCCCTATTAAAGAAGAAGAAGAAGAAAAATGCCCTATTAAAAACTGGTCTGTACCTTTTCCTGAAACTAAAGATACGCTCCAGCTTTTACTTTGTGGGGGAGAGTGGGAAACAAAACCAAAAGGATGGAAAAAAAATACCAAACACCTTCTGCCCTAGAGCCGAAGTCAGGCCACTTGGCTCAGACCGCTGGATGGTCCAGCAGAACTGACTATGAAGTATGTGTCCCCACTGCTGCGGGCAGTGGTGGTGCAGCAGCACTCAGCTTTTCCTTTTGGACTTTATCCACCACTGAAGTTCTCATTCATAAATGATCCTCACTAACTGTAGTGTTTTTGAGATATTATGCTTATAGTATTCTCCTATATATCCCAGTGGGGCTGGTAAAACAAATAATAGAATAAAAATGAAGACACTAGTTAGTATGGCAAGACTAAAGGACTGGCTGAGCAAAGTATATTCATCATCCACTAACCAACGCTGTGCCTATACAATGGAAATCTTCTCAGCCATGCATTCTTTTTGGCAAGATTCAAAGTAACAAAATACAAAATATTCAACCCAACAATTAACATATCAAAGAACAATCAAATCTCAGTACACAAAGCCAGCAATTAAAAAGATGCCATTTTAGATACACATAGCTACTACCATTTACTGAGGCCCTAAAATTTGTCAGATATAACCTGGCAGTTTTTACACTGTTATAATATTCTGTCTTCCCAGAAATGAAGGTATTAGTAATTTCCATTTTAGAGCTGGGGTATTCCTCTCTGAGAGGTTCAGGAACCTGCCCGTGATCAGATAGCTTTTCAGCAACAGGCTCTGGAGAGGATTCCAGATCTGAATGGAACCAAAATCCACACCCTCTCATCATGCACTATACTACAAGCACAGGAGAATGAAAGGCTTTTTATAGGTGTAGAAGGTAAAAACAAAGCTGGAAGAGATAAATGTAAAAGGTAACACTGAAACAGGATAAAACACAGATGAGAAAGTTCTAGAAACATGAAATAAATCATCAATAATAAGCTACAGCAATAGCAATAAAAGCCAAGTGAGTCCCAATTCACTCTGTTCCTCTGACAATTTGGAAATTTTAATCCATCAGATTTTACAATGTGCTAGAAGTATAAATGCTACCTTTTCTAAAAGGAGGCAAATAAGACAAAATGAAAAAGAGTAAGTTGACTGACAGGTTTTTAAAGGCATATATATAAAAACCAAACAGTATTTTTACTACACGGGAAAAACCAACCTAGTAAAGACCCTATCAGGTAAATTCTATGAAAATGGACAAAGTCAGCATGTGACTACTGGGAACCAAAGCCAGTTCTTGAACCTCATTTGAATACAGGGGAAAAAAATCAATTCAAACAGATAATTCACTATGAGGTTTAAAACAAAAATAAGACAGTATATTTAAAAATGAAATCTAAAGCAACCTTGAAGTTGATTCTGTAGTTTCTTTTTTTCAGGATCATCAGTTTCTCCTTCCCCATCACTGTCATTCCTAATAAAAAGAATTGAATATATTCAAGTGATCACTCATTGCTAGCAAAATAAGGCAAAAATGAAGGAAATATTAAACTGAAATATCTATAACTTAAGTAGCAAAATAAGGCATTCACATTAAAAGTTATACTTATTACTTTTAAGAGTATACTAAATAAAATAGCAAGCAGGCATATTATCCATCAATATGGAATCATGAACAGGAAAGGGGCAAAAAGACCAGAATGAAGGAACCAGCTCCAAGTTCCCATGACATACCAGCTCCAAGTTCCCATGACATACCAGCTCCAAGTTCCCATGACATACCTATGTTATGTACAAATGCATAAACACATGCCCCCACACCTCATTCCACAAAAGACTTAAGATGAATTACAGGAGAGTTGTAAACTACATAAAAATACCAAATCAGGAAAACTATGTATCAGAAAAAGAAGCCATAACCAGGAGAGAAAAACCCAGAGCATTAATTATTTAAAAGATATAAAGTTCTATAATCCTTAGTCTGGGGGTTCCAAAGAAGAGATGAAGCTTTTGATGAAAATGAAATGAGACCAAAAGACAAGTAAATCAACCACAGTATTTCATATCTGAGAATGTATTCTGAAAAAAATAATTTAAAATGAGTTTAAAGCTTTGACTACAAGGATAATCATGCCTACACTGTTCCCAAAAGGGAAAAAATCAGAAATAAAGTATGTTCAATCATAGGGATTAGCATATGACAGACTATGCCGCAATCTTTGAAAATGAAGCTGTAGAAATAGTTTACTGAGACGTTTATAATACACTGAATGAAAAATTGATAAAGCAAGAAATATGGCATTACATCATTTTTTTTAACACATAACATATACACGGAGATTAAAAAGCTTGACAGATTTTTTTTTCCTCCAAATGGGACTAGCTTGTTTATCATAGGATGGTGGGGTTATGGGTTAGGTACAGACTGCCAAGTGATTCACTTGACATTCACTCCAACCTTGTTCTACCATGCTTTCTTGTACAATGAAGACCGTACTTATAAAAAACTGTCCCTTCTGGGCCTCCTTGCAGCAAGGGCTCCACATGAAACCCAAGTTCCTCCAAGAAGTGGAGGCAAGCTTCGAGCGAAAGCCCTGGCTTGCTGAGGCAGCTGTGGCAGAGGTCCTACTAGATATGGAATCCAAGCTTAACTCCAGGCCCCCACTGCAAATCTGTAAGGTTAATACTCTATAATAAATCCCTTATTGCTTAAATTAGCCAACATGGATCCTGCTATTCAATATAGAATTGGCATCTCCCCACTGGGTAGCCATCTCAGGAGGGGACACTACAGGGTCTTCAAGCAAGACCACAAAAGCCTCAACTCACAGGGAGATGACATTTCTGCTGGCAAGGGTGTCTCAGAAAGAGTCGGGGGTCCAGGTACTCAAGGTTAATGCAATTTTTCCCAATAGTTTTATTTTAATTTTGGAGCCCCAGTCTTCCATTAAATGGCCCAACCTTTATATTTGAAACCCTAAAGTTGAATCTATACTGAAATTCAATAATCCATAAGATCTACTAGGGAACTTCAATAATCCATAAAAATCAGGTGGGGTCTGATTTTCATTATCTCAGTGCTGTAGGTACAGAAGATAAAAATATTCTCAAGTGTCACAGGAACTCCCTGGTTCCCTGACCACATCTTGAAAAGAGAATATAAAACCTTGAGCTTGTAATTCTCTTCAGACTCTCCCATGAGGTTTGAAGCAGGCAGTCAACTCTAGTTCCTATGTTCTTATGTCCTTCAAGATGGCATTTGGTAGTAGCCACAAAGCCCCTGAAGCACTGCCTTCAAGACATTCCATTCCTGATGACCACAGGGGATTATCTAAGTAACTCCTATCACTGCATACCATGGACTCTGAGTATCACATCTTCTAAAACTAACCAGAACCTCCTGCCTTCAAACCCAACCAGGCCATATAACCCCATCCTAGAATCTCATTTCTTATATGCAAGAGACTACACATTCCAATAAAACTTTATTTTCAAAAACAGGCAGCAGGTCAGATCTGGCCTATGAGTCATGGATTGCCAACACCTAGTTTCAACAAAATGAGCAGATTTCACAAATTAAATGTAATTTTATCTTTTAATTAGATATAATAAAATCTAAGACTCTAAAATACATACCCCTTCTCATCAGCTGGACTTGGCTGTCCCTCTTTCACTGGCTTCTGTGGAGTTTTCTCTTTCTTTTTCAGATACTCCTTTAGTTTCTCTGCTCTATCAAGATATTCTGTACATTTTGCCCTAATACTTTGCTTGGCTTTATCACCCTGTGCTTCATCTATTAAAGGAAAACGAGAGAGATTTTTCTATTAGTATTTTACACAGACAGGTTGAAACTCTTAGACATGGTATTGAGACAAGGACAATCTATTTTGGGGGAGGGAGGAAGAGCATCTCTAGTTCATCGTAGCCAATGATCATCAACTCTTTTCTGCTTCCTCCAGCATGGTTGGAGGCCAACAGCATGTCTGAGTCAGAAAAGAGATTTGAGCAAGACATTAGGATATTTTAAGTTAATGGTAAATAATAAGAAATTATTTAATATTTTGTGGGTTTTATATACTTCCTGTAACATTTTGTGCAGATAGTTGAAAGCTACTTGTCTCATACAAAACCAATATAAGACAAACAGAAGTAAAGCAATATTAACCATTTCCATTAATGTCTATGTAAACTTTATTTCATTGTAAAAAAATGACAAATCCTATATATCATATATACCAATAATATTGTAAATCTATTACATAAAAAACTCTGTGAGAGCAATTTCAAAAGCCAACCAGCAAAGCATAGGACTAGCCCCACATATCTTATGTTACGATTCATTCTTAGTTTTACTTTTATTTGCCAGAAAAACCTCAAAATGAAATAGAGAAGCTCAAAAGAAAATTCTAAATTATCCAAATGCTAAAATTATTTAAAAATAACTTAAAGACTTTTTTTTCAAATGCTCAGCATTATGTTTAAGATCAATGAAGGCAGTATTTTTTTCCATCTGTCCCTCACTGTCATACCCTAGTGCCTACAACAATACCCGGCACACAGTAAGCATGGAATACATATTTAAAAAATATACGAATGTCTCCCAACCAATTTTTTAAAAAAGTATTTAAAAGAGTGTTTTCAAAGATGTTTAGAAAATGTCAGGTACATAATCTGGGTACATTACTAGTAAAATAAAAACTATTTCCAACAACTATATGGTATTTTAATATGTTTAGGTATACAAAGTAATAACTATGATAGCTGTGCACATTTGTTTGCTGAGTACTTAAAAACTGTTAACAAGAAAGGGAGAATTTTTTGCAAATGGATGGTTTAGAATTTTTTGGTGTTGCATTTTGATTTTTATAAATGAAATAGAATAATCTTTTCCTTTAACGTTTTAAAAAGCAAACTATGGCCTTACATTTAACTACGTGGAGAAAATACTGAACAGCGTGTTGGTAGAGCTGAAGAGCTTCCTCATAGTTCCCAGCTTTGTCTTCCTGGGCTGCTTTGCTAGCAAGATCTACTGCTTTCTGTTGGAAGGGAGGTAAATCATACCATCAAAATCACATAAGCATAACTTTGAAGTAAGTGATCATACTGAACGTTTTCTTTTTTTAATAAAAGCAACCTTAAAACAAATCCGTCTGTTCTGGGAAATTCTCAAATCCAGTGTTGTTATAGATGAAGCATATAACAATAGTAAAATGTAAATAGCATAAAACCCCTTCAGAAGCAACGGGGCAATGAAATATCAAGAATCTGAAAATACCCAAATCTTTTAATCTAGCAATCATCTAAAAGGTTTACTGAACAAAGATAGTAACCAAAGAGGTCTTTTAAGAAAAACAAAACCAAATCTGAAAACTTTAATTTCAAGCAGCAAAAAGACACCACACAACTGATTATAGAATCATTAAAATATTAAAAAACATTCACAGTAATATGATGAAATTTTTAAAAAAGACACAATACAATTTTCTAAAAACGATTTTATTCATGAGACACACACACACACACACAGAGAGAGATAGAGAGAGAGAGAGAGAGAGAGAGAGAGAGAGAGAGAGGCAGAGACACAGGCAGAGGGAGAAGCAGGTTCCATGCAGGGAACCTGATGTGGGACTCGATCCCGGGACTCCAGGATCATGCCCTGGGCCGAAGGCAGGTGCTAAACCGCTGAGCCACCCAGGGATCCCCAGGCATAATACAATTTTTACATGTAGCATGAGTTCTACTGTTTGAAACAACAGCAAAAACAAACAAAAACAAAACAAAACAAAACAAAAAAACAAAAAAAAAAACCCACCCCAAAACAAAACTAAAAATAACACAGGAAAAAGACGGAAAGAAAATTTAACAGAGGCTGTTAAAAAGCCTCAAGTTTTTCTCTTTCTACTTTTTTGCATCTTTTAAAAATGCCTATAATGAACATGAACTTTTGCAATATTAAAAAAAAACCCTCCTAGAAATAGATCCATGCAAATATGCAAAAGCAAGTCAACACTAGAAAAGACAGTGCTGGAGCAGTAGACATCTATAAGCAAAAAACAAAACAAAACAAAAAACACTTTAAAAATCACATATGGGGCAGCCCAGGTGGCTCAGCGGTTTAACGTCACCTTTGGCCCGGGGTGTGATCCTGGAGACCCAGGATCGAGTCCCAGTCAGGCTCCCTGCATCTCTGTCTCTCTAGTCTGTCTCTGTCTCTCACGAATAAATAAGTAAAATCTTAAAAAAAAAAAATCACATATGCTCTTAAAACAATTTTCTCTGGCTGAAAGTAGGAGATAGGAGGCAGAAGGAAAGGTCAGAAAGAATAGAAGCAGGATGAAAATTCAACCACACTGGCATGGAAGAAAGTGGCAATGAGTCAGAATACGCAAGAGGCTTCTACAAGTGGAGAATCACCCTCAGTTGACAACCAAGAAAAAGAACCTTAGTCTGATAACCACATGAAACTGAAATCTGCCAACAAACTCAATGTGTTTAGAGCCTTCAAAAACAAACAAAAATGTAGCCCTGCAGACACCTTGGTGTAAGCCTGGTAAAACTGGGCTGAAACCCAACTGAGCTATGTTGTACCTGGACTTCTAGCCTACAGAAACAGAGATAATAAATTAATGCTGCTTTAATTTGAAAAAAACAAAAAAACAAAAAAAAAAAGCAAAAAAAAACAAAACTCACAATGCATTATGGACTTAAATATAAAATGTAAAACTATAAAATCTTTAGAAAGAACAAAAATCTTTAGCATTTAGAGCTAGGCAAGGGGTTCTTAAACTACATACCAAAAAGCATAATATATAAAATGAAAACACTACGGTACGGGCATAAAAACAGACATGTAGATCAGTGGAACAGAAGAGAAAGCCCAGAGATAAACCCACACACATATATGGTCAATTAATTTACCACACAGGAGCCAAGGATATCCAAAGAGAAAAGAACAGTCTCTTCAATAAATGCTGGGGGTGGTGGTGGTGGTAACTGGGTGGCGCAGTCGGTCAGGCATCTGACTCTTGCTTTCGGCTTGAGTCATGATCTCAGGGTTGTGGGATTGCCCCCCCCCCTTGTCAGGCTCTGAGCTTGGTGCAGAGTCTGCTTGGGATATTCTCTCTCTCTCTCTCTCTCTCTCTCTCTCTCTCTCTCTCTCCATCTGCCCTTCCTGCTCGCACTCTCTTTCTCTCGCTAAAGTAAATATTTTTTTAAAAAATGGGAAAAGTGGGAAAACTGGACAGCAACATGGAAAACAATGAAACTAGACTACAATCTTACACCATCCATGAAAATTAACTCAAAATGGATTAAAGATTTGAACATAGAACCTGAAACCATAAACTTCTTGAAGAAAATATAGGCAAGGAAGCTCGGTCTCTGGTGATGACTTTTTGGGTTTGACACCAAAAGCAAAGGCAATAAAGGCACAAATAAACAAGTGGGACCACATCAAACCTTCCGCACAGCAAAGGAAAAACCATTAACAGAATGAAAAGGCAATCTACTGAATGGGAGAAAATATTTGCAAATCGTTTATGTGTTAAGGGATTAATATCTAAAACATTAAAAAAAAAAACCCTCATACAACGCAATAGCAAAAGAACTAAGCGATTCAATTAAAAAATAGGTAGAGGATCTAAACCGACATTTTTCTAAAGACTGAACAGAAGCCCAACAGGTATGTGAAACAGCATTCAACATGACTAATCATCAGGGAAACACAAATCAAAACTACAATGAGCTATCACCTCACACTTGCTAGAATGGCTATTATCAATAAAACAAGAAATCGCAAGTATTGGTGAGGGCATGGAGAAAAGGGAACCCTTGTGCACTGCTGATGGGACTGTAATTGGTGCAGCCACTACGGAAAGCACTATGGGGGGTTCCTCAAAAAATTAAAAACAGAACTACCATATGATTCAGCAATTTCACTCCTGAGTACTTATCCACAGAAAATGAAAACATATAAACTCAAAAAGATATATGCACCCCTGTATCTCAGCATTATTTTATGCAGCATTATTTTAAAATAGCCAAGATATGGAAACAACCTAAGTGTCCACAGACAGATGAATGGATAAAGAAATTGTGGTATACACATACAATGGATATTATTCAGCCATAAAAAAGGGAAATCTTGGCATTTATGACAACATGGATAGACTTGAGGGCATTATGCTAAATGAAATAAGTCAGAGAAAGACAAGTATCATACGATCTTACTTACATGTGAAATCTAAACAAAAAAATCCACGAACAAAAACCTAAGTTCATAGATAACAGATAAGAGACTAGTAGTTACAAGAAGTGGGGAAAGGTGAAATAGGTGAAGGGAGTCCAAAGATACAAACTTCTTGTTATATAGTACAGTATGGTGACTATAGTTAATAACACTACATTGCATACTTGAAAGTTACTAAGGGAGTAAATCTTAAAAGTTCGCATCACAGGAAAACCATTTTTGTAACAATGAAAGGAGACAGATGTTAAACAGATGTATTGTGGTGATATCTCACAATATATACAAATAATGAGTCATGTTGTACATGGGAAATGAGTATATGTCAATTATACTTCAAAAAAAAGAAAAATGATAAATGTTTCTCATCAAATTAAAAAACTTTTGGTCTATAAAAAATCTGTTAAAGGATGAAAAGACAAGCTACAGAATGGGAGAAATATTTACAAACTATATATTCAGGAAAAGACTAATATTTAGAATATAGAAAGAACTCCACATACTCAATAGTTTAAAAAGAATCCAAGTAGAAAATCAACTGAAGAACCGACATTTCACCAAAGAATATGCTGATGGCAAATCAGCACCAAAAAGATGTCTGAAATCATTAGCCACAAGAGAAAGGCAAATTAAAACCAGCAGGAGATATCTCAAAAAATCTATCAGCATGGCTAAAATAAAAAAAAAAAAATAGTGACCATAATACCAATTGCTGGTAGGCACAGAGAGAACTGGATCACTAATACATTGCTGGTAGGGTGGAAAATGGTACAGCCACTCTAAGAAACTGTTTGGTTTTTTATAAATGTAAACATGCAGCTACCATATGAACCAGAAACTGCACTCATGGGTATTTATCCCAGAGAAATGAAGACTTGTGTTCATACAAAAATCTATACATGAACATTCCGGATGTCTTCCAACCAGAATGGAAAAACAAACTGTGGCAAACCCAAGGCATGGAGTCCTACTCAGTAACAAAAAGGAACTACCTTGATACACACAACATGAATGAATCTTAAGAGAATTAAGCTAAGTGGAAAGAACCAATTCCAAAAGGTTATATATTGTATGATTCCATTTATATAACTTTCTCGAAATGACAAAACTAGAGACAGAGGGTATATTAGTATTGTTGGGAAACAGGGAAACAGGATACATGGTGAGGGAAGACAAAGAGAGGTGATTATGGTTCTAAAAGGGCCATAGGAGGAATTCCTGTGGATAGAATTATTCTGTATCATGACTGGATGGAGGAAACTTACCTATGTGATGAAACTCTGAACACATAGACACACACACACAAGATATACGTGAGTATAGAGGTGTGCCTGGGTGGCTAGTCAGTTAAGTGGCTGCCTTTAACTCAGGTCATGACGTCAGGGTCCTGGGATCCAGCCCAGCTTCATATTGAGCTCCCTGGGGAGTCTGTTTCTCCCTCTTCCTCTGCCCCTCCCCTCATTTGTTCACCCATTTTCTCTCAAATAAATAAACAAAATCTTTAAAAAATACACACACTCAAGTAAAACTGGAAAATCTGAGTAAGACTGGTGGAATATATCAATGTCAACATACAGGTCATGATACAGTACTGTAATTTTATAAGATGCTACCACTGCAGGCAATGGGTGAAAGGAACACAGGATCTCTCTGTATTATTTCTCACAACTGCATGCAAATCTGTGATTATCACAAAATAAAAATTTCATTAAGAACTATTTTTAATATTTAAAAAAACACACACACATATATAAGAACAAGCATGGTTTATTAAAACATTCCACCTGGATT